CCCCGCCTCCCCCCAGCCCCCTCTGGAGCGCAATCTCACCAAACAGCATTTTTTTGTGTGGTGAGCCCACCAGAGTTCCAAGCCCTTCTACAACTTGCCCATACACGCACACATCTGCAGTGTAGCACACTGCTAATCCACAATCTTCCGTCCCTGGCCACATAATGACACCCAAGTCTTGGAAATGTTACGAACCTGAGGACGAACCGAACAATGCCTCATATATTGTGACATCTAGAATATAAAATCAAAATAGTGCCTGATGTGTTTTGTATTTTATTGAAACAGTTGCTCAGCAAGATTGGGTCAAACGTCGAAAAAAAAGCTGCTCATTCATGCCCTGGAGTGTCAACACATACAACATGATGGATTACATTTAGCTAAATAGCATCCTCCTTAGGCACTCTTTGCATCACCCAAGTTACATAGAAGTATTATTCTGTCGTCGATATGCGGGCTCTTTCCCAATGGCAGCTCGAGACAGGTTTACTTGATGTGGCGAGTGGGTTGCAGGAGGTTCAGTTGGCAGGGCAGAGGTTAAACAGGCGCGCGCGCGCGCGCACACACACACACGCACACACACACACACACACACACACACACACACACACACACACACACACGCACACACAGATGCACACGCATGCACACAAATTTGTAATTCGAGTGACCCTTGATATACAGTATAGGTTCAATTGATGTCAATGCGGTTTGATTTTTTTATTCTCTAACTACATTCATTACTGTACATCATTATCACAATGACATTCATCACATGCACTGTATTTAAACCTACACAAACAAGAAGATGGTAAATTATTTAAGGAAAAAAAACACGCTGCTATCAAAATATATTTGAAATCTTAAATCAGGTTTACTAACACAAACATGACATATGACAATTGCGTCAGCTTGGAAAATTGTTACTGCATGATAGTCCATTTTTTTCCCCTTCAAAATTTCCAGTTACTTTACATCAAGTGCTGGACAGCTAGTCACAAATAAAAGTTTAAAGCTTCAATTCTTTGTTGCATCGCGTCAGTCCACACTATACACATTGGGCCCCTCACTGCCCCATTTTTGTCCCATACGCAAAGCCATACTTCATAAATGTACATTCGCAATAATGTTTTAGTATAATTGACTGAGTACCTGCCTTCTTCTGCCTAAAAGTGATCTTGTGATGAATCAACCCTGAAGACGATGCCTATAGAATCATTGCTCTAACAGTGTTTATCAATCTAAATTGAGCCAAGGGACATTTTTTTTTTACATTTGAAAATTCTCACGTTCACACCGCACCTAAAAATGTCACATATATACTGCATACTGAAATAATAATGATCATCTCATCTCAATTTGGACCTGCATAGTTGCTATTCTTTTCTGACTGCAAATGAATGGCAATAGGTGGAAACACAGATTATTTGTCCCTTCATGCCATCTAGTGGAGGAGCATTTGATATTTCTGCCTATCCTTTTATGTCCCTGGCATAGGTAGTTGCGCAACACATTTGGAGATTTTCTGAATACTGTACATATTCAATCATTCATTCATTTTACACACACCTTGACACCTAGATTGGCATCTTACTTTGACATTTTACTTACTTTACTTACAAAACCATTTTGTCAGGATATTTACAGAAAAATGCATCCAAAGTAATTGGGAGTAGCATTATGATAATGACCAAATACACACTGAAAACACCACCAAGGATTACAGTGAGGAGTGAGGAAGGGGGTTCAGTGGAAGGGCTGGCCATGTCAATGACCTGACGTTAACCCAGTAGATCCTGCCTTTTACCTCCTCAAGAGGAGACTGAAAGGAGAAATCCCCAGAAACACACACGAACTGAAATACGCCTCAGTAAACGGTGGGAAAGTATTTCAAATGAAGAAATGTGTATTCTGCTAAAGAATTTTAAATCAGGTCGCTGATGGTGTAGTGGTACACTTGCCTAACTTGTGTGTGGGCAGCACGGGATCAGTTCCCACTCATTCACTGTGCTTGTGGGTGGGAATGGTTGTCTCTATATGTGACCTCTGACTGACTGACGGCCAGTTCAGGTTATAGTCTGCCTTGCCAAAGTCAGCTGGGATAGGTTCCAAAGCAACACCCCACCCTGTTCAGGATAAGCAGTGTTGAAAATGGATGGGTGGACAATTCCAATACCTTTGCTCGCTTGAAAAGTGTCTGGCTTCAAACAAAAGATGCTCTGTCCAGAGTTGTTTAACATTGTTCGATGAAAATACTGTACCATGAAATAAAAACTGGAATTCTCAATACCTTTGGAAGAGACTATATCTCATCAGAAAGGGCCCACCAATAAGATGCACACAGGCATTAATTTACTCTCAAGTACAATATGACCTACTCAGTGATGGGACACTGCTGTAGAAAGAATCATTTTTAATACTATTTTCTGTTTCCTATAAACTTTTAAATCATTAAATTATTGTCAGAAATCATTTGCATGATCAGTGTGTGTCATGGTTTTGATCTGTTTGTGTTTAGTTTTCAGCTCTAGTGGGAGGAGAGGGCGTTCCCTTCAGTGGTGCACCTGTCAAGCATTATAATCATTATCTTCGGACTACTTATGGACTGCCATGCTGTAACATGTGGTGGTGTGAGCCGAACAACACACCAACCCTGGACATGTGTCGCCGGACAGCCGAAGGAGCAAAGACTTCTCGAGTTTCCGCAAACACCTGTTTATTCTCAAACAAATAACAGTTCCTCAGCTTTACCACACGCGATTCATGAGCACAGTGGTCGGATACACCCGACTGAGTCCGTGACAAAAAAAAAAATGTGTTCTCCGGAGGTTTAAGGAAAAATGTGACCACTGGCATGGTAAATTAAAGAGGCACCATGTAGCGAGATACCGTACTTTAACAATGGACAATGCCAACAACCCCATGTCGAATTATTCACCTTGCTCATGAGTCACGTACCAAGTGCAATTCTCTAGATGCTCATGATCTTGTTTGTCGGTTCTTGTTCGTGTTCGTTCTTGTTATAAGTAATATTTAAGTCTCTTATTCATAGTGTTATTTTGTTTTTCTTCGTGATTGGGTTTTCTTGACAAGCGATCTATGTTGTAGATTTTTTTCCTTGCCGGTTGCAAGCGCTTTTTATTATTCACGGTATGCCTGGCTCAGAGTACCAGCGATCTCATTTGTACCATGTCAATCTTCCTGGGGTTTTTTGTTGTTGTTGTTGTTGTTGTAAATACACATTTTTGTCAAATACTTTTATCTCAGTCTACATTTGTGGGATCCACTCCTATGCAGATTATTCCGATCGTAACAGTGTGCATCAAAGTGATAGTTCTTTGCATTAATCAGTACCCAGTATATCTTAATTTAAAAAAAAAACATAACATCTAAAATTTTGGTAACTCTTGCGTTATACTGCAAAATTTTCATGTGAGATGGCTAAGTATAAAATGAATGAATGATCAAATGAACAAGAGTATGGGGCTGTATTAAGACTAAGTCCAAATGTTTTGCACATACGGGGAGGCAATGTCACATCTGTAAAAAATGTTAATGCCACTTTTCTATAGCACAGGTTGTGTAAACATCTCGGAGTGATGCAGTGCAGCTGTAAAATACTGTGTACATTAAATCTGAGATTTTTTTTTTCAAAAGCTCTTATATTGCTCACCTTGTATTGTGCAGCTATAATATTGCTGTCAAAAAGAGAAAGAAAAACAATATTGTATGAAGTCGAAATACCACTGTTGGTTTGGGTGACGTATCGGGGATGCAGCAGAAAAGCAATTCCATATGCTTGTTGAGGCAACAGGAGGCATCATGTCTGACAGAGCGACGCCCCTTTTTGCGGCTTCTCTCCTCAGCATCACTTCGCGTCTTTGCTCATAAACTTCCGTAAAGTTGCACATACACTCCACAATTCCGGAAGTGTTTCAGGCAGAGCCACCAATAATAACTGAATCGCATGCGCTGTTATATTCTAAACATAGCCAATCGAACATCGATATAGATAGATTAGCATGGTTTTTCAAAAATCAGAATCGAGTTTGTGTCGACGGCACTGGTTTGTCATTTGAAGCTGAAAATAAAAGCAAATAACGGAAACGTGTTGTCCCAACCTACGTAACTTGATGCAGATTCTTTTTGCAGGCAATCCAACCCCGCCCGCCAGCCTCAATTGAACGCACCGCGGTGACGCAGGGCAATGTGGAAAATTTGTGACAGGAGGGGAAGGACGCAGGGCACGGCAGTGTTAAGCAGGAAGCACTTTTGATTGATGCACGACCTTCGAGGACAAACCTGTGAATTATAATACACCTAACCGAGGGTGGTCCTTCCTGTGGAACACTGTAAAACATCGACACCGTTTTAAGGCGGATCACTTGGATACACTCCCAGGTAGGCTTTGTCGTACAAGTAGCTTCATTCAGTAAACGCAGACACTCACAGAACATATTTTCCTTAGTCAAATCAAATGTCACTGCTCACTCCAATTTCATCCATGATGAGTCACTCTCAAATATAGCGGCATCGATTTAATTCAGAATCGTGAACAATGTAAATGCATATTTGCTCATAATTGGCCATAAATTAAGTTTCCCGTTAATGTATGAGGGGAAAATAGCCCATGGTCCTTCCAATTAGACCTGACAACTTGTGCGACGCATCCAGTGGGCGGACACGTTTTTTTCTTGTCGTCTTTCACACCTCAGAGTCTCCATCATGAACTACCTTCGTCGCCGACTCTCGGACAGCAATTTCATGTCCAACCTGCCCAACGGCTACATGGGCGACTTACAGCGCGCCGAGCCCCCGCCTCAGCAGCAGCCGAGCCCCGCAGTGTCCCCGGGGCCCTCGGAGAGACGCCAGCCTGTCAGTCAGCAACAGTCTGCGGGCGGAGGCTCCGGCTTCTTCTCGTCCATATCCAATGCTGTCAAGCAAACCACGGCCGCCGCCGCAGCTACCTTATCCGAAGCGGCCGACCGGGCGGGGGTCTCTAGCAGTGCTAAGATCCTCCTGGTGGTGGACGACCAGCAGACCGACTGGTAAGAGCAGAAGAGTCTCGACTGCAATGTGGGCCACAACGTGTCCCATTACCTTTGTCTCTGTTGAACAGTATCAGCATATTGTAAATTTAACGTTTTTTCCATGACCATAAATGTTCATACATGTTCAGCATTTTATAAAAGGATGCATAGCCCTGTTTGCACGCATACCTTGAGCTCAAGATGATTGACCTATTTTTCCCCAGTAATTGGTATAAACAAGGGTCTTAGTGTCACTTGCTTCTATTTTTACATTTGATATCTAAAAGTTAAAAATAAGACAAACGGGATATGCAATGTGACTGACAAAAGCAGGATGATGCAAATTTTGAAAAATGATCCATCAAAAACAAGCCTTGCAAATGAACATCAGGTATTGTGTAGGACATTATGGTGGTTATGTGGTTAGCATATTTGCCTCACATACAGTTCTGACATTTAGGGTTAAAATCTCAGCCTTCTTGTGTTTTTGCTCGTTTCCTAGGTAATCTGATTTCCTCCCACATTCAAAAAAATTGTGGTTCATGTTTCCATGCATTTTCTATACCGCTTGTCTTCACAAGGATCCCACAAATGATCTCAGGCCAGGGTCCACACGGACAGGCAATTTAGTCTTCCAATACTCTATTTGAATGCGGGAGGAAGTCCCCAACCTTACAACTGTCAGCCAAATGTGCTTGCCACTTGTCCACCCACCATGCTTGCAATATCTCAAATTTCAATTTTAGTACAGATTTGAGCAAAAAACATGAAGTACACAGAAGATTTTTTTATGGAGAGGGGCGGATTTGGATCCAACGGCCTTGAGCATGACATCTGTGTACATTAACTATTATTTTTCATGGCCAAAAATAAAATGTTTCCATGCTGTTTCAGGGTCCATGCACTACAGGTACCTTAAGCTAACTATAATGAATGTAATTGACTTATTTTACCCCAAAGTGTAAGAAAGCAGGTTTCTGTCACTTATTGTATTTTGCATTTGATTTTGAAAGGGCAACCCTACATGCTGATGTGACAGACGCAGCGTCAATGAAATTCTCGTGACAGAAAATGATCATGAATAAATCTGGCAAATGATGGTTGATATTGCATGCATATAATTTCCGGCAGCACAGTTGCCAAGTGGTCAGTACCTCTGCCTCTCAGTTCTGAGGTTCAGGGTTCAAGGTTTGGCTCCAATTTTCTTACGTGGAGTGTGCTCAGTTTTTTTTTTTCTCCAGGTCCCTCCCACATCCCCCAAACATGCAAGTTAACTCCATTGAGACTCTAAATTGTCCATAGTTGTGAATGCTAATGGCTGTTTGTCTATATGTATCCTCTGAGTGGCTGGTGACCAGTCTAAGGTGTACCGTGCCTCTTGAACAAAATCAGCCTGGAGAGCACGGCCTTGGGTGACTCTAAGATAAGCAGTCTCGAAAACCGATAGTTCGATCATGTCCGTGTGCTTCTTCGCTACGCAATGGTGAGATGATAAAATTGATTCACCAGTGGTTTAATGAGAATATCAAATGTCAAGTGTCAAAATCTGTTTTTGTTTTATAACAAATGGCCACATCATTAGGTACACCTGCACAATCTAAGTCCAGAACAATAGCCGTTTCTGTGCTCCGTTTTGATTGCAGCTGAATAATTGGATTGAATTTTATTATTTTTGGGAGTTTGAAGTTTCCACACAGCTCTTGCATAAAAACACTATTCAAATCATACAATCTTGTCAATTTTTTCGCACTCAAAGAAATTTCCAGTCAGGATAAGCAAAGTACATGACACCACATTGTATATGTGACGTTAAGGAATAAACATTTGATTTCTTTCCTTGTTTCTCATATAGGGTGAGAGTTTTTAGAGGAAAGAAGGTCCACGGTGGTGAATATGACATCAAGGTTGAACAGGTAGGTGTTGATAACATTTTGTATATTGCTATTTTTGTGTTCACTTGTGCTGTCCAAAGAGCAAAGGGCATTCACATTTATCTGTGAGGTATTATTATTAGGATGTACTTATTTGTTATATGAGTAAATTAGATTTATAACAACATGTCCAGTAACATCTTAAGTAATCCTGGATTATGTCAGTAAGTAATTAAGAAAATGCATGGCAAATGTGAATGAAGATATTGCTCATTTTCAAATTGAAATATTATTATTGACTTTGACAATAAAGAAACATTCAAAAGGTTTTAATTCTTTGCACTCCTTCTCTCTGTCTTGGTGGCTTTGTCCTCTAATTTAGTCCTTCATTCTAATTTTCATCAATTCCCATGTATGAAGGGTATTAGGAGGCTGACTGACAATTTTGATTGTACCTTGCTCTGTACGTGGTTGTACAGTAGATGAAATTGTTTGCTGTGACTTAATCTCATCACTTTCTTTTTAGGCAGAATTTTCTGAAATCAACCTGGTGGCTGACTCGTCAGGCACCTACACAGTCAGCATTGATGCAATTAGGAGCGGCCATAAGGTGACTAAGTAAGTGCAAGTTCACTCTAGATTGGTGTCTAATATGGCTATTATGCTGGTACAGTTTTGTCTTATGTTGATAGACACTATCTAGACTACACCCACAAGAAATGAAAATGAAACAATGGAAATATCCTTTATGATATTTTTTTGCATATTTTTTTGTGGTTAAAGTAGACTTTGCCATCTGTCATTGTTCATCCCAGAGGTGCTTGATGGGGTTGAGGTCAGGCAACAATGAGCCAGTCAACTTTCAACACCAAGCGAATCCAAGAATGCTTTTATGAACTTTAATGTATTCAATGGAGCACATACTACATGTTACAGAAAAAGAGCTACCCCAAACTATTACACAGTAAGTGTATAAGTGTACAATGTCCCAAAGTCAGCTGTGATAGACTCCAGCTCACAGGCAGCCATCATAGGGATGGTGTATAAAACAGATGGGTTTGTGGATCGAGTCTTGGTTCCTTGAAAACAATTGTCTTCACACAATTTTTTTTCAAGAGAGTATTATCACTCCATATATCTGCCATTTACTCTATTTGCCTTCTTTGTAACATTTTGTAAATGTTTCTTTCCAGATCCTTTAAACCAGACTTTGTGCTGATCAGACAGCATGCCTTCAGTATGGACAAGAATGGAGACCACCGAAACTTAGTTATCGGTCTACAGTATGCGGGACTGCCAAGTGTGAACTCTTTACACTCTGTCTACAATTTCTGTGACAAACCATGGGTGGTGGGTTGTTTGAAAGTCTCAAACCTTATTCTATTTGATGATCTGCATTGATGTTGGAAAAATATTTGAATTATGTTTTTGTTTTTTCTAGTTTGCACAGATGTCAAGGTTACACAAACAGTTGGGTTCAGAGGAGTTCCCACTGATTGACCAGGTTTATTATCCAAACCACAAAGAAATGGTAAATTCCAACATCTGCTTACACACAGACACACACCCAAGCCCTCCACTTAAACATGCGGGCATGGTCACCTTTACAAGACCATCACGTCAATATTCCATCATGTGCGCCTCCTGACACCAATCACGTATGGTCTGTGACTTGTCTCAGGAAATTGAGTTTCAGCTTTATTTGAGTTTCTGCATTTGTAATCAGGGTTGCCAAATTCTGGTGAAAAAAGTAAAAACCCTGCCATAGTTTGGCTTTCGCCATGGGTGCTTCAATCAAGAGCTCATTTACCTGCCAGTTGAGTCGACACAACTGTGGCTAAAGCCAAACTGTGGCAGGGTTTTTACTTTCTGGACCTGGATTTGACACCTCTGTTTGTCATATAATGAATGTGATATCATTTGATACAATCAAAAATGTCCTCCAGAAATACAAGAGAGATGCTTTCTGCTTCATGAGAGTTGAAAATAATTTATGTCTACTCTTTTATTAGATAACGTCCTCTCAGTTCCCTGTTGTGATAAAAATGGGCCATGCTCACTCAGGAATGGGAAAGGTAGAACTACATTTCAGATTCTTCATTTAGAATGTGTGAGAACAGGTTTACTTTTTCATATTTGGATGCTTGTTACCATAGGTGAAAGTGGACAACCAATATGACTTTCAAGATATTGCCAGTGTTGTTGCCCTGACCAAGACTTATGCCACATCCGAGCCATTTATTGATGCCAAGTATGATGTCCGCATCCAGAAGATTGGTGAAAATTACAAGGCCTATATGTCAGTGGATCATTTAAGTAATCACTTGCTCTCTCATCTGTTCAAAAAGCAAATGCTCACATGGTTTTATTATCATCAACAGGAGAACATCCATTTCTGGCAATTGGAAAACCAACACAGGCTCATCAATGCTTGAGCAAGTGGCCATGTCAGACAAGTAAGATTCTACATTATGTTAGTTTCACTTGACTGGTGCTTGTGCTGTGAAACGTGTCATTCAGGCCAACAGTTATGCTTGACATGATGCTACAGGTACAGGATGTGGGTGGACACTTGTGCCAACATCTTTGGAGGTTTGGATATCTGTGCCGTGGAGGCTCTTCATGGCAAAGATGGAATGGACTACATAATAGAGGTCCTTGAAGGCGGGGTGATCAAATCAAAGAAGTGCAAGCTGTGCGGGTTAAAAAAGTGACCTACGAATGCATTGTCATCTTGGTTTCTAGGTAGATGACTGCTCAATGCCACTGATCGGTGACCAGCAGGATGAGGATCGTATACAGATTGCTGAACTGGTGGTTTCGAAAATGAACCAGATGATTCTACCTGCTTCAAGCTCCTCTACAGGCCGCATCACAGCAACACAGGTGCACAAAGCATCGAAGCGCAACTTTTTTTAACTGAAATATTTACTGAAGGAGAAATATAATCTTAACAAAGGCAGCTCTGTATATAGATAGATAGATAGATAGATAGATAGATAGATAGATAGATAGATAGATAGATAGATATCGATAGATATATATACACACACACACACACACACACACACACACACACACACACACACAGTATATTATGCAGGGAGATGGGGACATAGATGCACAGTATTGTTTATACATGAATATATAATTCAAGGGGGGCGACCCGGTTAGCGCGTCGATCTCACAGTGCAGAGGTACCGGGTTCAATTCCAGCTCCGGCCTCCCTGTGTGGAGTTTGCATGTTCTCCCCGGGCCTGCGTGGGTTTTCTCCGGGTACTCCGGTTTCCTCCAACATTCCAAAACATGCATGGCAGGCTGATTGAACACTCTAAATTGTCTCTAGGTGTGAGTGTGAGCGCGGATGGTTGTTCGTCTGTGTGTCCTGCGATTGGCTGGCTACCGGTTCAGGGTGTCCCCTGCCTACTGCCCGAAGACAGCTGGGATAGGCTCCAGCACCCCCCGCCACCCCTGTGAGGATAAGCGGATCGGAAAATGAATGAATGTATGAATATAATTCAAGCTTCATTGGCAGTCAAAATAAAGAGAGATCCATCTGCAGACTGCAATCTCATGTCATTCACACTTTTTACCTGATGTGCAGTTTGAACACATCACCACTGGCCCCATGGGGCCATGAGTCAGGTCTATCTCCATTGACACATTTCCTTATGGGATAGGTTGTTTTAGTGTCAGTGGAAAATCTGAGCACTCCATGTATATTGATTGCTGCCATGCAACAATAGTTACGACAGCAGGAAACATGACACTCGAGGGCAGAGGTAAAAGTCACATTTAATCTGCTTATTTTAGGAATAAATAATGTTTGTTGTCCATCCATTTCTTGTTGTTTTGCATTTTAGAAAGCAGTTTCTCCTCAACCTGTGTCCCAACCTAGAGTTCCACAGTCTCAACAGCGACCCTCACCTCAGGGTAAGAACTAATTGACTACAAAGACAAGATATTCAGTGTTCAACCTGATGAACTATATTGGGTTTTTTTGGCAACTATTTTCTCCATTTGATTTTGATGCCTCCACCACATTCCAAAAAAGCTGGGCAACAAAAAATTGGGTTAGTCATGGTTTTAAAAAGTCAAGGTTTCGTTAATTGCTAAAAGTGTTTGTCATTGGTAATGAGCTTTTTTCATTTTTGAGGGGACTTTTAAGCAGGCAATATCCAGCTGCAATATGATTGGCTTCTTGTAGTCTCAACTCACCTCAACTCAACTGTATTTATAGAGCACTTTCAAACAGCTGTCGCTGCATACAAAGTGCTGTACATGGAGCAACTAACATATATTCAACAAATGAGCAATAAATCAGTAACAAAATGGTAGAAGGCACCAAACAGTAAAACTAAGATCAAATCTGGGTCATGCTGAGTCAAATGCTAAAGAATACAAGTGAGTTTTGAGGCGGGTTTTAAAGATGGGCAGTGAGGGGGCTTGCCGAATGTTCAGTGGGAGGTCATTCCAGAGAGAGGGACCAGCAACGGAAAATGCTCGACCCCCTCTGAGCCTCGGTTTAGTTCTTGGTACTTCTAATAATGTCTGGTCGTCAGACCTGAGGCGCCGGGCAGGTGTGTAGGGGCGGATGAGCTCGGAGAGGTAAGGTGGCGCGAGGTCATTTAAAGATTTGAAAACAAATTATAGGATCTTGAAAAGAACTCTAAAATGTATAGGGAGCCAGTGAAGGGATGCCAGAGTAGGAGTTATGTGCTCCCTCTTACGAGTACCGGTCAAGAGGCGAGCAGCAGAATTCTGGACCAGCTGGAGACGCTTAATGGACGATTGGCTGACTCCAAAGTAAAGTGCATTGCAGTAATCGAGCCGGGATGTGACGGAGACATGAATTACGGTCTCAAGGTGCTCATAAGAAAGGAGAGGTTTTATTTTAGCCAGCTGCATAAGATGAAAGAAGCTGGATTTAACAGCGGCACCAATTAGTCATTTCTAAACATCTTTTTGAAGTTGATGATGAGAGGCTAAAGTAAAGACTTTTGGTAAAGCACATACCGGATGCCTTGACTCTGTGCATAGCATCATGAAATCTGAAGAATATCCAAGTATTTTGGGGTACAATGTACTGCCTATTGTCAGAATGGCAGGTCAGTGACCCAAAGCACACTTCAAAAAGTACCCTAAATGGCTTAAGACAAAGTGCCGGATAGTTCTGAAGGGGCAGGCAATAAGTCGGGATCTAAATCCTATAAACACCTGTAGGGAGATTTCAAAACAGCTTTTGGTAAGAGTTACCCTTCAAATCGAGAGACCTTGGTGCTGTCTGCAAACGAAGAGGGGGCCAAAATTCCAGCCGAGAGGTTGGTGATTACAAGAACTCATTTATTTCAGTTATCTTTTTTTTTTTCAAAGGCTGCACGACTAAATAATAAGTTGAAGGTGCCAATAATTTTGTCCAGTCTATTTTTGGGGGTTCAGTGTGGAATGGCCAATTTTTCTTTTTTTTTCCACAGCTTTTTTGTGTTGTTCCAATGCAAACAAAAGAAATAAACATCAATACTGAAAAAAATGTAGTTGCTGCATCTTTCAGTGTGATGTGGTGTATTCTCTGTTTTGGGCCACAACTGTATGCTGCCATCTAAGTAAGCTCTTTTTCAAGGACGTCTTGCATAATCCATCAAGATAATGCCAAGTAACACTCTGCAGGTGTTACGACTGCATGGCTTTGTTGTGAAAGAGTGCCACTACAAGAATGTCCAGTCCAGACCATCCTCCAATTGGAAATGCCTGGGGTTTTATAAAGCACAAAATATGTCACCGGAGTTATACATACATCAAGGAAGAATGGGAACAAATTACATTTTAGTGTCCATAGTTGTCAAACACTATCATTCAGTTAAAAGAAAAGGGGATGTACGGCGCTTGTCCCAGCATTTTTGGAAGGTGTTGTATGGATTAACAATATATATATATATATATATATATATATATATATATATATATATATATATATATATATATACACACACACACACACACACATAGACACTTGAACATGAAATATCTTTCTAGTGTTTTCATTTTAATATCGGTTGAAAAGGATTGACAAATCATTACATTTTATTTAGGTCTTAGAGAACATCCCAAATTCATTAGAATCGATATTTTTATTTGAATATTATTGTTAGAGTGCCTTTACCACAAGTTTACATGATCCACACTGTAATAAGATCAGCATTTGCCCTTGAAGTCTAAGGTTGTATGTGTCAGATAAAATTCAGTGGTACATGCTAATGCTTTTTCAGAAATTATTTTTAAAAAAAGTGTGCTGTTTTGAGAACAATTTTTGCTAATTTCCAATTCTATTCAGGTGGTCCATTTAATGGACTGTGATTGTCTTTTCCCATCAGGTGGTCCTCAACAAGGTGCTGCTGCTGCTGCACAGGCCCAGCAAGCTGCAGCGAGCCCGGGTTCAGCTGAAACAAGTTCCCAAGCCAAGGTCAATCAAGGGCCTCCAGGGCAGGGTGCTCCTCAGCGAAGCCAAGGAGGGCCTCTTCCAACTCAGAGGCAACAGTCTTCCACACAGCAGCAACAAAGACCTCCTTCGGGGGGTGCTGGTCAGAAACCTCAGCAACAGAGACCTACTCAGCCCCCTAGACAGCAATCACAAGGAGGGCAGCAGAGAACCGCTGGCCAGCAGGGGCGTACTGGTGGGACCACTACACAGCAGCCACGACCAGCCGGCCAGGGCCAGGGAGGTCCTGGGGGACGCCCACCACTGCAACAAAAGCCCCAGCCCCCACAAAAACCCAGTCAGGACAGCACGGCATTTGGCGGTTCCCCACAACTGAAGTAAGTGTCATTTGGACATCATATTAATAAATATTTCTGGTCGGCTAAAACAAGTGTACTGTATATGACCACTCGTTGTTGAAAATGTCTTTCATTTTTGATGATGAGAACCTTACACCTCAGATCTTTTTGCATTGATATCGGCATGAGATACATATGTATATCTTCTGTTTGTTATGATTCACTGGAATGTGCATGATTCTTGTTCTTCAACAATTTCAGAACGTTACATTTCAGTGATCAAAACCCATCAAACAAATACGGAAGGTGAGGCCTGGTTGAACATTTTTTGGTGCTATAGTAAAACACAAAACCAACTAAACAAATGAAAAACTTACTCCCACATTCCAAAAATATGCGCCCTGCGTGTTTGTCTAGCCGTGCAATTATCTGGCGGGTCGATGGAGCAGTCAGCTGGGATAGGCTCCAGCACACCTGCGATCCCAGAGAATATAAATCTTTTAGATAATGGATGGATTGTGAAAAGAGGTTGCCTGACCTCGGTGGACAGGCAGTAGCTCACAATGTCTATGCTTGTGGATCTCAAAAGTGTAGGTTGACCTTGAAGTCAGGGATCTCGAGTTGTTCCATACCAAACTCATCCAAGCGGTGCTTATACCAAAGTTTGACAACAAAGTTAAATATACTCACTGTAAGAAATGGGATTCATATGGACCACGGCAACTTGCATAGATCCTGATTCATGTTTCTTTAAGTGACCAAAATATGGACGAAAATCATTTAATGCAATTGATGTAAGGTAGTGGTAAATAAATCAATAAATGGAGCTCTTTGATTGAGGCGAACTCGATTAATAAATAATATAAATGACAGCCACGTCCACCAAGCATCACATAGCATCCAGTGACATCATTCATTTATGATTCTCTCTTTCAAGCATAACCTGAATAAACACAGTGACAGTGAACGCATTTCTTGAAAGTCAAGTTTCCGCTCGTACCATTTCTCCTCTTTTCTCAACATGGTCCAGTCTTTTCATTCCATGGGTTTGCTGCATGACGTTAATAGCCTCTTCCTCTCCTCTATTGCCATCTCCTCTCTTTATCGCAAATCTCTGACCAATACCTTCAACATTCCAGAAACCCCAGCGTCACGAGCCAGCCTTAACCAGGATGAGGTGAAGGCTGAAACCGTACACAGTCTACGCAAATCTTTTGCCAGTCTCTTCTCAGACTGAGACATCATCATCATCATCATCATCCTCCTCCTCCTCCTCCTCCTCCTGGGCAATCAGCCCCCGTCATGGACTTGCCCCCCCTCCCGGGTCCCACACCCGGTACGACTCTCGCTGGTGCTTCGCGAGGTTCACATCCAGTGCGGGCCCCGGAAGGGCCCTAGCGCCTGATTATTGTTTAAGGAGGGTTGTGGGGCGGCTACTCCCACTCCCCTCCGTTTTGGTGGGGTGTGCGCTGGGCGCCTCACCTTCGGGTGAGACCCCACCTCCTTCCCTGCCGGCTGGTGGGTATTTAGCCGTGTCTGGGGCCAAAGAGCCCCGGCGTTCCCCCCTTGCGCCACTCGGAGGCATCCCACCACGCGAGGCATCATCATCATCATCATCATCATCATCATCATCATCATCATCTCCTGCTCCCACTGAAAGAAAATGGGCCTGGCACATAGAAGGACTGATGCTGTCCCCATTCATATAAACATGATATTGAAATGTATGTAATCACTGAAGAGCGCCTATTCCACAATGAACAAAGAAGACGAAACCAAGTCTGAAACATTCCTGCCTAGCCACAATCTTAAATTATTCCACACACATTACACAAAAGCCTGTATATGCATGAGCACACACAAACTAGAATGGCCGCAAAATACTACTTCCAGTTGTTTATTGGCACTGCCACTCTTAAGTTCAACCTTATTTTGATGTACCAACCAACCAAATTCAATTATGCTCATAGTCGCACACATCTGTAGAGTATAGAATGTCCGGCTAGTGTTTGATTTATTGGGCACCAAAAGGTGATGTTTTAGCTGCATGTCAACAGGGGGCAATGGTTGCGTTTTCCAATCTTGCACATTGGTGCTTGTAAATGTATTGTCACGTATGTTCGGCTAGTTGAAATAAGCCTTGCCAAGTTAGCCTTGTAGACCTTGTGAGTGTGTTGCCCCACTTTCTTCCATTTTTTTTTCTACTTGCACAAAAACAAAAGCTAAAAAAAAAACTCGAATCAAATGGAGCCGTCTCAAGGATGTCCACTTGATTGTGACTTGTATTTGTGAATCCTCCATTCTGTTTCCTGTGGTTGTTTACCAATGATGAAGGAGGAAAAGCATGCGTTCAAATGAGGAAGGTTTTTTTTTTCAATTTTTTAATTTACAATGCATTTGTACACAGTTTAAAGCAGAGTTATACTTGAAATCGGTTAAAGTAAGTGATGCATAGTCTGTATTTTCAGGTTTTATTCAACTACTGTACCATTTGACAAAGCAGCAACTTGGCTTTGGCTTGGCAAAACAGAACAATGCACTGGGCTGCAGCGCAGAATGATGCAGTTAGCAAATGCAGTTAGCAAAATATTCACAGATTTTTAACACATCTGCTCAATTTAAAATCATGTTAATTAAAAATGTCTAGTTTAGAAGTCAAAAACATTATGCACCTGGTGAATGGTTGCCCAAAAAATATGAAGCCAAGGACTGTCACATGTATACTGTACGTCCATCTGTAAAATAAACACATATCGGTACTTTGCTAATAAATGTATGTGCAGATTTGTCGTCGATAAAGCACGTGTGCTGATATAGTTGTTTCTCCTCTGCACTGATAACCAAATCTATGGTCATTATTGCATATGTACATCCTGACTCTAAAGGAAAAATAAACTCTAGGCACTAAAATGTCTTCCGGGGGAATTATTCCCGCTTGAGTGTGTATCTATTACGGCAATATCTTGCTTTTTAGAGAAGACCCAAAGTGTAAATGAGTCCTGGTTACCTAGTAGATTCCTCATGCTGTCCCTGTATGTTGTAGTTGCAGTGACTCCTTGTGCTCTCTGGTGCATACATGTGGGAATGTTCTGTAACGAGTCAAAACAGATTGTCGTGTTGCACAGAACCTTGACTGATGCAGATTGTCACCTTTATTCTTCTGCCGCTATCTGTGCTGGTTGATATTTTGTGTGTTTCTGAACCTCTTTTTCTTTTTTTGGTGAATTATTGAATGATTTTGTTGTGCAATTGTGTCTGAATGATTTTAAAGATGTTTATTTTCCTTCATGAAGCAATATGGTGCTTGTGAGTTAATGCATTGGCTTTGGAATGACTCTTCAGTGTGCATGTCAAATGGTTCTTTTTATTTTTTTAGGACAATTTGCCATGTCACTTGACAGGTAACTGTAACTGTTTGTCATATATTAAGTGTATTGTAATATATTGTTATATATTGTTTTAAATTCTGTCATGGTAAAACTTGCCACTGACCTGTGATATTATTATTTTGTTTTGAGCAGAATTCCTATATGGGAGCTCTATTTGACTGTGAATGTAACTTTTTGCTTTATGCATTGTTTATTCATTGTGGAAAGATAAAATCCTTGTAGATGTGAGTGGGAAATTGAGATGATTGCCAATCGATGCCTGACATAAAATAAAAAAAAAAATCATAGCTGTAAATGAAAAAAAATAAACGCTGAAGTGCTGGCTTATACAAAATTAAAATATATAATGTAAATGATGGTGGATTATAAAAGTATATGTAAATTGATGTTATATGCAATGTTTGTATTATATGATGTGCAAATGAATGTTATTGAAATATGCACATGCCTAATAAAGTCAATGACCAACAAAACTAATAAAATTGACTCTAATCTGCAGAATGTTTTAAATAATTACTGCCAACTGGTAACCAGATTTATTTTTAATTAAAATTTAACCCACGGAACATATCGGGGGTAAATAAATAATGACAAATTATTTTTGATGCTATTGCTTTGTTCTGTACATAGATCTCCTTTCATCGAATCTTGATTACAATAGTAGCAGTGTGCCTCACAAATCAATGAAGTAATTGTACTTGTAGGCATTTGACCACAAGGTGGGGTAAGCCTGCATTTAAACTGCCAAGAACAAGATACTACTGTTTACTGTGCTGATTACATAATTCATAGAACGAAGAGAATCAGAACGGGTTCGTATTGCTTTATATTGGAATGAGCAGTTGCATATTATCCATTTGAAAACAGTGACAAAGTGACAAATACTGTACTGCATTGTTAAAAAGCTTATTGTTAACACGGTTTAAAGAAGCAGCAATGTAACAGCTTTCCATATGAATCCATGCATTGTCTGTGTGCCCACCGTGGATAAATGAGGGTCTTGTGAGATAGCACTGCCTGCTGTATTAAAAATACAGCGCAATTATCATTATTTATTGCAATACTTTAATGTTGTATGACAGAAAAATGATTGGTTCAACTGACAACTACATAGGTGCAAGTCTGAGAAAGTCTTTAAATATTGAGTGATGTGGGTGGCATGGTTAGCACATCCGCCGCAGTTCTGAGGTCAGTTCTGAGGTTGAGGGTTTAAATTCTGTGTGGAGTTTGCAAAGCATGTTCTTCTCTGGCTTGTGTGGATTTTTTGTTGGTATTCCGACCTTCTCCCACATAATAAGAACATGTTTCTTTGGTTAAAAGAAGACTATAAATTGTTTTTAGGTATGTTCGTTTGTTTGTCTCTATTCAAATTTTCCGGCAGCAAGTCCAAAGTGTACTCCACCGCTTACCTGATGTCAGCTGTAGAATAGTGAGGCTAAGTGGTATAGAAAATGGGTGCTTGAAGTTTAGTTAAGCTAAACAGTCAAGCACTTAAGACCGGCATCCAACCCCTTCAACTCAATAAAACAGAGATGATAAAACAGGCCCTCTTCTTTAATATCACATATTCCCAGAGGAGTGAAAGCAGTTGTGTATGCAAAAGGATTCCATATCCAGTGTTTTTAGTGAATGTGAATGTAATGGCCCTAAACAGAAAGGTCCACTGGGTCTACCTCGTTCCATATCCACAATTGCATGTGGCTGCCTAAACATGATGGTTTTTTTAATGCAGTGTGAAATACGTTTAATTCTTCCTCACCAAATCAATGTATTTCTTGCTGCAGAAGTTTTCATTGCAGACTTAAGTAGAAGGACAGCAAAATCCAAATTACAGGGAAGCTATATGTTTTTCATTGCAGACTTAAGTAGGACAGCAAAATCCAAATTACAGGGAAGCTATATGACTACACTCCATAAGATTAGTGTGTTTTTAAAGTGCTATAATATGCTTGCTTGCATTTCTTAAAATGACCAGTGCTTTATTTAATTATTTCATTGCAAATTAAAGTTTGCTTAGAAGGGGTGATGCCCATACAATCAGAGAAGACACTGTGCCGTTCACTGATGATCAAAGCTACCCAATAAAATATAACAGAAAAGAAATGAAATATTCTCCCACATGTACATGTTTTAGCCATTCACTTACAGACTATAATATAAGAGGTCTAAAGTAAAGCATGGAAGGGAAGTGCTAGCAATATATGTGCTCTGTTATGAACAGAAAAGCGACAAAAGAGAGGGTGCTTGGAGTGATGCAGGAGGCCTCACGACTTCTTGGAGGTAGGTTATTTCGAGAGTTGACCCATTTAAACAGCCCTATGAAGCTGAGAACACAAGTGCATCTGGATGACTACAGCTGCCAACCACAATACGTAATTACATGCTGTCTATTTAAGATGCAATTAAATCAGCAAATTGAAAAAAGTGTCAGAGCTGATTTGCAAGTTTAATTTGATGGGTGGGTGAGCAAAATAAACGACTGCATTCGATTGTATGTGTAAACGCCCTGCTTTATTATTTTTAAAAATACATTTTGGAGATCTGGACTAGGTAATGGGATGCACTGATTAATACAATGAACTTTTCAGTTGAAATTGAACCAATTTGGTAACTTAAGTGGTGGCTCAAAAAGTTTTTTCTACCAACCAACTGGCCAACAAAAGTAATGATGTGGATGAATCACTTGGACAATTGTAAACAGAGTATGCTTTGAAATTTGTAAGGGACAGTTTGGGAATAGCCTCTTTCTCTTTCAGCTTGGCTGTGACATAAATCCATAGAAATATAGTTGGATGAATTTGGTGTGGAAGAACACAGTTTCATTAAAACATCAGTGGCATGAACTACAAAGGAGAGGTCATCCCCAAGATATATT